ATCACAAAGTTAGGAGATCGAGCCTATCCGGGTTAACATTGTGAAATCCCGTCTCTACTAAAAATACAAAATTTAGCCAGGCATCGTGGCGGGTGCCTATAGTCCCAGCTACTTGGGAGGCTGAGGCAGGAGAATGACATGAATTCGGGAGGCAGAGCTTGCAGTGAGCCGACTCCAGCCTGGGCAACAGAGTGAGACTCCGTCTCAAAGAAAAAAAGAACAAAAAACAAAAAACAAAAACCTGCATGGAAGCCTAGTATATTTATTAATAACAAATAAATTATACTTTAGTGTACTATTAACCTGTACCAATTTTAAGTTGTGATCAGAGAATGGGGATGTTTTTAAGCTGAACTGTCTTGCTGCAGAACTTCCCTTTTTTAATATGACCATATTATGACTCTGAATGCTCAGGGGTAAGCCTAAGGCCCCACTGCTGTTACCAGGAGATTTTTCTAGTTACAGAAATAAAGATGTTAATTCACATGCATGCAGACAACTGAAACTCGAGTGGAAAATTTGTTTGTGAACAAGTCATACTACTTATCTTCTGTTATTTGCACGAATGGAATCTGCTACTTCTTTTTCCATGGGAGACACTAAAAGAAAACCCTGGATCAGAATGATCTGCAGTTTCAGATAATACAGGCTTTTAAGAGACATTGTTAGAATTAAAAATATGCTAATTTTATTAAATGAAAATATTTGTTACTTTCTCACTGACAAAGCAAATTTCTCAATAAAATACCTATTTTAACTTGCATTGCTGACATCTTTTCTTTGAGTAATCTGAATAATGCAGAAGCCATCATAGAGGTCTTTTATACGTTCTCACTGTTTTCTTAAATGGGTTTCCTGAGTTCTATTCTTCATGACTCGGCTCTGCAAACAGAGTTTCCCAATTATGCATTCTATACACACTTTTATGAATGAGTCAATATAACAGTAGAGTCCTTTTCATACATCTCATCATTTCCAATATGTAGAGTGACAGCTAGAAAAAAGATGATACAATTTTGCTCAAAACCTATCTCTTTTTCTTCAGCATAGTTGTTTTCTTAACTCTCAATGAGTAACTCCATGCCTAGCTTGTGCTTAGCTTTCAATATTTTTAGACTAAGTCAAAGTGTATTTGGCATTTTGAGAACGACGATTAATGGTCAGTACATTTCTAAAGCAAGAAAAATGTGAAACTAGTGTTTTATATGTTTGTTATGCAGCAGAATACAGCTCTTAGTGTTTGCCCCTTCATATCTCATCATGTAAAATATTAAATTGTTTTAGGCCACTGGACATAGGTAGTCCTGTCATGAGTGATGGCTGGAAAAAAGTTCAGGATCATAAATGTTATCACCATTCTTTAAGAAAAGATGAGATTATAAATTTCTGCAACTGGTATGACAAAAGGTTGAATTAACTAATGAGGTCGAATTAACTAACTAGACTACTAGTTAGTTACTTCTAAAGCAAAACTTTTGGTTCATGATTAACATATATAAACTGGTGTTTTCATCAAAGATCAAACAAAATAGTCTTCTCTAGAATACTCATATTATTCCCCTGGCTTATTAAGTAATGGTAAATAATACACAGTATCTAAGAGGTGACAGGTTGACCTGAAACTTACCAAAGGGTATCAAGTTGTGCAGATAGATTGTCTAGCTAGTTTCTTCAACTTTACATTTTCTATAGGCAGAGAAGAGGGCTGTGTAAATTCTTCCCATCAGTACTTGAATGTTCATTTAACAAATATGTATCGAACATTTAGCATGTGCCAGACACAATCTGAACACTGAGCACACAACAGTGGGAACAAATATGGTTCCTATCCTCATGGAGCTTCTATTCTGTGAAAAACAGATGTTAAACATGATTGACCTGTGACCAGGATCACGTGTGCCTCCAAGAGTATGTAAGAGAGACCTTCTGGTGTGAAGAAAACTCCCCTGAGGAAGTCATGTTTTAGCAAAACTCTTAAGGATGTCAAGTATTACTTATATAAAAGGGAGCACATGGAATGAATAGTGCAAGCAGACAATACGGCCATGAGGAAGGCACATTCAAGGACATGAAAGAGTAGCATAGTAGAAACCTAAAAAACAATGGTCGCAGGTGTAATAAGACATAGATGAGGCAGATCAGTGGGATCTTTTTGGTATTTAAAGAGGTTTAGGCCAGGCACAGTGGCTCACGCCTATAATCCCAGCACTTTGGAAGGCCAAGGCAGGTGGATCATCCGAGGTCAGGAGTTCTAGACCAGCCTGGCCAACCTGGTGAAACCTCATCTCTACTAAAAAACACAAAAATTAGCTGGGTGTGGTGACAGGTGCCTCTAATCCCAGCTACTCAGGGGGCTGAGGCAGGAGAATCGCTTGAACCCAGGAGGCGGAGGTTGCAGTGAGCTGAGATTGGGACATCGCACTCCAGCCTGGGGGACAAGAGGGAGACTTTGTCTCAAAAAAAAAAAGTTTTAGACTCAAAAATAAGAAAAGAAACAACCTAAGTAAACAATGGGCAAAAGATCTGAACAGACAACTCACCAAGGAAAATAAACAGATAAAAGCATGTGAAAAGATGTCCAACACCATATATCATTAGGGAATTGTAAATTAAAACAAGATACCATTACACCCTATTAGAATGGCCAAAATCCAAAATGCTGACAACAATAAATGCCGACAAGAATACAGGGCAACAGAAGCTCTTATTCATTCTGATAGGGATGCAAAATGATAGCCACTGGAAGACAGTTTGGCAGTTTCTTAGAAAACTAAACATACTCTTACCACATGATCCAGCAATTGTGCTCCTTAGTATTTACATAAAATTAGTTGAAAACATGTCCACACAGAAATCTTCACACGTAGGTTTATTCATAATTTTCAAAACTTGGAAGCAACCAAGATATCCTTCAGTAGTAGTATATTCAGACAATGGAATATTATTTAGCACTAAAAGAAATGAGCTATCAAGTCATGAAAAGACATGGAGGAACCTTAAATGGATATTACTAAGTAAGTTAAAGAAGACGATCTTAAGAGGTCACATACTATATGATTCCAATGATATGACATACGGAAAAGGCAAAACTATGGAAATAGTAAAAAGATCAGTGGTTGTCAGGGGTTGGAGGGACGGTGGGATAAACAGGCAGAACACAGAAGATTTTTAGGGCAGTGAAACTATTTTGTGTAATACTATGATGGTGGATACATGTCATTTTATAATTATCAAGGGCCACAGGATGTACTACATTAAGAGTGATCTCTAACTTGAACTATGGACTTTGGGTGATAATGTGTCAGTGTAGGGGCATCGATTGTAACAAATGTACAATTCTGGGGCTGGGATGTTGATAGTGGGGGAGGCTATGCATGTGTGCTGATAGGGGCTATATTGGAACTCTGTACTTTCTGTTCAATTTTGCTGTGAACCTAAAACTGCTCCAAAAAATAAAGTCTCTTTTAAAAAAGAGTTTTAGGAGGGGAATTCATAATCAGATTTAAATTTGTAATAGATTGGCCATAGTGACTCATGTGGGTAGAAATAAAGAATAAAAATGGGTGTAGGAGAACAGTTAATGCAATGGTCTAGCTAAAGATGGTGCTAGTTTAGTCTAAGGTGGCAGCAAAGGAGAAGGTGAAAACATGCTGCCCCTAGAGAAGGAAATAAGATTCCCGTAAGTGTAATGAACTGTTTGCCCTTAGTTTCCTCATCTATTAAAGGAGAGAAGAGGAGTATAGGGGTTAGAAGACAGCCTATCACTGAACCAAACTTAAAGCAAACAGAATCAACTGAGTACTTGAGTCAGACATCTTTTCTTTTGTAATGTCAACCCTATATTAGACAAGAGCAGTATCAGGTAGATGATGGTATTTATGAGAGAACTTTGAACACATAACTTCCTGAACACTTTAAATATAATGACCCACTTCTTTATTAACCTAATTGTGCTGATAGTGACTAGTAAATATGATAATGTAACCAAATACCAAAATGGACATTCTGGAAACTCAAAAATACTTAGTGTTATTTTCAGCTGGATTTTTCTTTTGTTTATTTTTGCAATTTTGAGTCTTGGTAATCTTTATGTAACCTAAACATAAAGTTTTATAAACTTTAGGAAGATATTACTCATGTATAAAGTTCATAATATATAATGCAATATAGTGTTCAAAATGTTATAATGTTCATAATATACTAATAATTCTATTTCATTGTCACTACCTCATTCTTGTTTCTGTTTTCACTGAGTAAACAGAAGTAAACAATGAGAGAGATTTCAGACCCAGAAACAGTATATCCTAAGGTTTTAGTTCTTTTATCTTATTCTCTAATCTCCCAAAGAAGCTCTTCTAAAAATATATCTTATTAACGTAAAAGCCTATTAAGGAGAACGACCCTAAAAATGCTAGACAATGAGAGCTACAAGCTCACTGGTTAGCCAAGTCTTGACAAAAAGCATGTTTGAGTTTACCAAAAGTACATTTGCAGAACTAATATACTGTATTGACAATGTGTAAATCTAGACATTTTTCTTTTCTTTTTTTTTTTTTTTGAGACGGAGTCTTGCTCTGTCACCCAGGCTGGAGTGCTGTGGCCGGATCTCAGCTCACTGCAAGCTCCGCCTCTCGGGTTTACGCCATTCTCCTGCCTCAGCCTCCCGAGTAGCTGGGACTACAGTCGCCCGCCACCTCGCCCGGCTAATTTTTTGTATTTTTTAGTAGAGACGGGGTTTCACCGTGTTAGCCAGAATGGTCTCGATCTCCTGCCCTCGTGATCCGCCCGTCTCGGCCTCCCAAAGTGCTGGGATTACAGGCTTGAGCCACCGCGCCCGGCCCAGACATTTTTCTTGTTAGAGCTGGTTAATATTTGCCTTAAGCACAAACAACTTACCACTTGAGATATTTTTCATGAATAAAGAAAAATCTGCTTTCTTGATGTAACAGACAAGATGATTTGAGGGTACTACATAATTATAATAAATATAAATCCATGTATCATTTTAATGTTTCATTCTTTATATATAATTGAATACTTGGTTATTGTGACAAAAAGTTACTATGGCTAAAGAAAATATGCAAGTACATCACCTGAAGTAACACCTGTATCCCACGATACATGAATCCAACTCCAATGCTGTTTTCTTTCTGAGTATTTCAGCAACACTGTATGTAGTTTAATAGTCAAGGTATCACTTGAATACTATCCAAGAATAATCAGATCTGCTCAAATTAGGTTTATATAATTTACCAAGGTGACAGATTCTGACTTTGAAGATTGCTGACCACTGATCACTAAGAACTAATATTAGCTGACCATATGATCACTAAGAACTAACATTTGACTGATAAATTTGAATTTCATCTTTTGTACACTGAGGAAACAGATTAACAATTTTCTCCACATCAAGATGCTTGTTTTGAAGGATTGATTCCATCTCTCTGAATAGTTCTTTCTCCAGTTTCCTCATGTTGTCCAACATTATTTTGGTTTTTTCCTAAACAATTAAAAATATAAAGATAAATACATATACACATACACATAAATCTAACCAAATTCAACCCACCTCTACAGATAAGGATTGTTCATTCTGGCATCTAATTGTGGTTTGGTTCCCTTCTTGTTCTTTAGAGACAGAAAGAATGAAATTCTTTGGGAAAATCATTGCTCTAGATTGAGTTAATGCATGAATACCAAATTATTTTTAGTAGAAAAGACAAAAACAATTATGAGAGTAGTTTATAAGTAAAAAACCTAAAAGACAACAAGACAACAGAAAATCTCATATGAACTGTCTATGTGGAAGGCTGCTGAAAACTGAGGCTGAAATATTTTTATCAATTTAGATCTTTTACATTTAAAACCAGTATTATCAGATTAATAAAATAGAACAGTAATGTTCAGGAAAAAATCAACTAAAAGAAGACATTTCCTCTATTACTTCATCTTTATTTCAATAAAGGGAGAAAAAAGGTCCATGATTCTTACAGAAAGTAATTTTTAAACTGTTGATGAATCACCATTATCAGTTATAAGGTACTTATTTAGAGAAAAAGTATGTAAGAAAAAACTTGGCCAGGCACCGTGGCTCAAGCCTGTAATCCCAGCACTTTGGGAGGCCAAGGCGGGTGGATCATGAGGTCAGGAGTTCGAGACCAGCCTGCCAATATGGTAAAACCCCATCTCTATTAAAAATACAAAAATTAGCTGGGCATGGTGGCGCATGCCTGTAGTCCCAGCTACTCGGAAAGCTGAGGCAAGAGAATCGCTTGAACCTGGGAGGCAGAGGTTGCAGTGAGCCGAGATCACACCACTGCACTCCAGCCTGGACGACAGACTGAGACTCTGTCTCAAAATAAATAAATAAATAAATAAATAAATAAATAAATAAATAAAGTCACTAAAAAAGTGAGCATACCTTTTTTTTTTTTTTTTTTTTGAGACGGACTCTCACTCTGTCGCCCAGGCTAACGTGCAATGGCACAGCCTCAGCTCACTGCAACCTCTACCTCCCAGGTCCAAGCGATTCTCCTGCCTCAGCCTCCCGAGTAGTTGGGATTACAGGCGCCCGCCACCATGTCCGGCTAATTTTTGTATTTTTAGTAGAGAGGGGGTTTCGTCATGTTGGTTAGGCTGGTATCAAACGCCTGACCTAAGCTGATCTACCTGCCTTGGCCTCCCAAAGTGCTGGGATTACAGGCGTAAGCCACTGCACCTGGCCTGTGAGCATAATTTTTAAAATTTGAACCATTATGGGGTAGAACTCTACAAAACAAATAACCTTAATATGGACTTCAATATGAAATTGTATGCAGTTTTCATCTGAGGAAACACTACATTTCATATTAGTGAGAAAAAAATGGGTTTTCTCTATAAATGGTATTGGAATAATTAGTCACCTTTTTGGAAAACAGAGTTAGAATCCCTACTTCATGAAAGACACAAAACTAAATTCCAGATGGACTAAAGAACTAAATTTTTAAAAAACACATATATGCTAGAAGTTATATTTATACTGAGGTGAGGTAGGCCTTTTGAAACATGAAATCAAGGTGCCTTACAGCAAAAGACTAATAAATATAATTGACTAAGTTTAAAATTTTTGTCTGACAAAAAAGTTAAATGTCAAACAATAAACTGGAATAAAATTCTGCCTTATTACAACAGTTAATATTCACACATTTTTGCCTATTTAAAGCAAAAAATTAAAAAAAAAAAACAAAAATAACCCAAAATCAATGGAAAAACAGCCTAAGGGAAAAAATAGACAAGAAATTTAAAATAAAATACTCACAACCAATAGACATAGGAGAAGGTTTTCAATCTTACTAGTAATCAAGAAATGTAAATTAAAACTACCAGTAGGATTGACTCTCCCTAAGACACAAAAGAAGTTATTTACAGAGCCAGGACCAGAACCCAGCTCTTTCACTCTTCTTCCCTCAAATTCCATTATCTTTCCACTACTTTACATTGTCAATCAATATTTTATGATTTTTAAGTAAAGTCTAAAATAGTTACAGCTTTAGAATTTTTATTTAAAAATAAAAATGTAAATAAAAATTTTCTAGTAAAAATAGGAAGTCTGGCAGAGCTTGTTGCTTTGAGTCTAAGTGAAATAGGTGAGGGAAAAAAAACACATAGCAACAATGCCAACACTGCAGACAAAAATAAATTATTACCTGGAGGAAAATTCATTTAATCCGTTTCAGTGTGAATAGAATGTAAATGTATATGCCTTGAGAAAGTAAAAGGAATTATAGGCAAGAAAAACCAGGAGGTAGAAACAGACGAGAAATGATTTAAGATGGTTAATGTTTTATTTCATTGCAGGGGGTCAACGGATGGATGGCTTTAGGCAGCTTTCCATTCCCTTCTTACCTATTATTTTTCTTTAGCAAGCTGAATAGGTATAGACATTATAAAATGACCTATCTATCTATACCAGAAAAAAATAAATCCTTATTTCTAGAGAAGAGAGTTTGAGTGATATATTGCTCTTCTATAATGCTTACATTTTAAAATAATGAGGATGTATCACTTTTTAAAAACTAAAACTAATTATTATTTTAAGTCTCTGAGGTTTTAAGTCACTTTCAATTAATTTTAATCTAGGCCTATATGATTAAGAACATTAAGAAACCAGGTCAACCGCTCTCCAGAGGCTTTGTAATTTTTGGTGTGGGATATATACTAAGCAAGTTACTTAAACTCTCCTAGACTCAGATACTTTATCAGCAAAGTGGGAATCAAAATAGTACCCATTTCATAAAGTGGTTGTGAAGATTAGATAAAGTAAACCATGTAAAAGTACTATGTAAGTGTTCAACAAATGTTAGCTATTTTTATTATGTTTAATGTACTAAATTTCTCTACAAGATTCACAATACATGTATTCATAATCAAAGATAAAAATAATACAGCTCTACTATAGTCTGAGCATCTAAACTAATCCTAAACCTATTTTTTATAAGAAGGGAGGAAAGCTGATCCTCCAAAGTTCAAAATACGGATTGAATCAAACTTTATACTTAATGATATAACAAAGAATATAAACTATCTTACCTCATTATTATGTACCACTTCCAATGCCTGTTGATGTTTTTGGTAGAGTGGGTGTCTTCTGTCAGGCTTAAAATGTGACTTCTTTTTAACTAGATCTTCAAGTTCAAATGTTGGTGAACTGGTATCCAATAGTTGTGAAATATGTGGCACAAATATGAAAGGCTTAAAAACAGATCTAGAAGAAAGAGTCTTTATTAAATTATCATGTCAATATATAAAAATATTCAGTGTTATTCTAAGTCTTCCAAGATTCTCTCTAATTAGAAGTTTCTGTTAATGTTACATACTAACTTGTCCCTATCACATTAGTTATACCCATGCCTGTCTTCTCTGATACACCAGGATCTCCTTGGGGGCAGGGAACCATACTTTTTTTAGTCTTGTGTTCCCATGAACCTAACAGAGGAACTGGCACGTAAACAGTCAGCAAAGTAATAGTTTGTCTTTCCTACTTCACATTCCACAGTTGGAGGATAAGAACAACCATTAATGTTATAGACCGAGGATTAGGACTCAGGGTGAACATCAGCGCCAGTGTCAGTAAGGAAGACATATGCTGGGCACAGTGGCTCATGCCTGTAATCCCAGCACTTTGAGAGGTCAAGGTGGGAGAATCTCTTGAGACCAGGAGTTCAAGAACAGCCTCGGGCAACATAGCCAGACCCCATCTCTACAAAAAAATTAAAAATTAGCCAGGCATGGTGGCATGCACCTGCAGTACCAGCTACTAGGGAAGCTACGGTGGGAGGATCACTTGAGCCCAGGAGTTCAAGGCTACAGTGTGCTGACTGTGCCACTGCACTCCATTCTAGCCCGGGCAACAGAGCAAGGCCTGTGTAAAAAAAAGGAAGACTCAAATGTTTTATTCCATTTTCTTGAAGATATTTTTAATAATATGAAAGGCTGCTACACTAAGAGATAATGAATATAAAATCATTTCTAAATGTAATGTGCATTTTGTGAGATACTAGTGACTTAAATCAAGATAGTCAACAAAAGTATTACCTAAAATATAACTGGACTGGGTGCAGTGGCTCATGCCTGTAATCCCAACACTTTGGGAGGCTGAGGCAGGTGGATCACTTGAGGCCAGGAGTTGGAGACCAGCCTGGGCAACAAGGTGAAATCTTGTCTCTATGAAAAACACAAAAATTAGCCAGGTGTGGTGGCATACGCCTGTAATCCCAGCTACTAGGGAGGCTGAGGCATGAGAATCTCTTGAACCTGGGAGGCAGAGGTTGCAGTGAGCTGAGATCATGCCATTGCACTCCAATCTGGGTGACAGAGTGAGACTCTGTCTCAAAATAATAATAATAATAATTAAATAAAACTGGAACTATTGATATTTTAAGTTTCATGTGTATTTTCTAGATATGAGTGCATAAGTAAATCCTGCACAACTACATCATTTAACCTTTGTACTGTTATGAATTATCTAATATCATATCTGAAATCTGAGTAAGAAAATCTACCTTCTTTTCTTGACAATGTTAAATCTATTTGTAGGAAGAAGGAGTAGGGATAACGCATACAAGAAACTATTCACATTTCCTTCCCATAAAAAGAGAACAGTTACACATATGTGAATGTTGCAGATTAAAGCCTGAACAGAAAATATATTAAAAATTATTGTCCTAGTTGTATAACAAAAATTTATCCTGACAAAATTATTAACATACTAATGACTTTACTCCATCCCCTGACCCCTTGCTGGTTTATAGTATTTTGTGGTTCACCTCTCAGGATCAGGAGTCCCTGTAAAGAAGTGAATGCAAGGAAGGCTGGAGTCTTGAGGTAAAACAGAAACCATGCTTGCAGTGGTCAGGAATTCTCCCTCCATATTAATGCCACTTGGTTTATCTCGAAGAATTTCCATAATTGTTTCAAAAGTTATATTTCCTAGGGAAATAATTTTTAAAATCATCAAATACATATGCATATACAGATGCCTTGCAAATATGAACTGCTTTCTCTACTGATAATATATGAGTTATTGGTCTTGACATAAATTAAGAGACTGACTATAAACAAACTTTGTATCAACTACAATTAGATTCATTCCACTATCACAAGAAAGGTATTTTATTTTAAATATAAATATGCAAAGTCTCAAAGTCACTGTAACAGGTAAAAAATTCCTAGAAAAAGGAATTAATAATGCAAAAATATATTCAATACCATTGCCCTTACAGAATTTTTTTTTTTTTTTTGAGACAGAGTCTTGCTCTGTGAGGCTAGAGTGCAGTGGTGCGATCTCGGCTCACTGCAATCTCTGTCTCCTGGGTTCAAGTGATTCTTGTGCCTCAGCCTCCCAAGTAGCTGGGACTACAGTCGTGCGCCACCATGCCCAACTAATTTTTGTATTTTTGGTAGAGACAGGGTTTCACCATGTTGGCCAGGCTGGTCTTGAACTCCTGACCTCAGGTGATCCTCCCCAGCTTGGCCTCCCAAAGTGCTGGGATTACAGGTGTGAGCCACTGCACCCAGCCTATGCCTGACTAATTTTTAAATTTTTCTGCAGAGATGGGGGTCTTGCTATGTTGCCCAGGCTGGTCTCGAACTCCTGGCCTTAAGCAATCCTCCCCCATCAGCCTCCCAAAATGCCAGGATTACAGGAATGAGCCACTGTGCCTAGTCTTTTGTCTTTAATTGAAAAAATTAAGTAAATATAACATAGTTACTGATGATTTGGATTTAAGTAGACCATTTTATTATTAGTTTTCTATATATTCCATCTATTCTTTGTCTCTTTTTCTCCGTTCTTGTCTTCTTTATACTTATCAAGTATTTATTACTACAGTTCTCCCATCAGCTTATTATTTATACACTTTTAAAAATCTTATTACTTTCTCTTGATTTACTACAGTTGGCCTTAAATTAGTTCTTTACCACTTACCAATTAATGCAAGAAGGACCCATACAGAACTTAGCTCCAATTACTGCCTATCTTTTGTGCTATTCTAATGCATTTTAATTTCTACTGTGTTCGTCTGGGTCTTCTGAGAAATAGATGCCACAACATGGGATCAAATATTTTAGGGGAAATGCCTGTGACAGAAAATGGGGAGGGAACCTGGAAAGTCTCAGAGAATCATCAGACTATGATACAATCTGAAGTCTGAGTTTAGTAGAGACGAAAGAGAAGTTGGAGAAGTATCCCAGGCTGCCATGCCATCTAAGGAAAGCCTGGCCAGGCTGTCAAGGAGTCCTGGATCCATGTTAGCCATTAGAGGAGTCCGTGTATCCCTAGAATGGGCCTGCCTTTATCTCCCTGCTGCTCTCAGTCAGTCACTGGCCAAAAGCATCCTGTGGAAAATATAGTGCTCCATGAAATCCATGCACAATAGACTTTAAGCACTGCAGCTATGGCCATTGGTTAGAAAGTTATTATTATTTTCAACAAAGTTTGTTTAGTTTTACCTATGTATTTACTGTTTCTGCTGCTCTTCATCTACTACTGCGTACCTTGCTTCTATCTGCCTGAAGAATGCCCATTAGCATTTCTTTTAATGCCAATTGTCTAGTAATTCTGTTTTATTTCACCTTTATTTTTAGAGGATATTTTCACTAGCTACACAATTCTACATTAGTAGTTATTATCTTTCTCCATCACCTTAAAGTTGTCATTTTACAGTCTTTAGAATTCCCTCCCTTCTGTTGAAAAGTTAGCTGTCAGCTTTATATTTGTTCCTTGAAGATTTTTTTTTTTCCTCTGGATGTGTTTCAGAATTTTCTCTCTGTCTTTTTTCCCGCTCAGAAATCTTACTATGATGGGCCTAGGTGTGGTTTCCTCTTGTTTGTCCTTCTTGGGATTTGTAGAGCTTCTTGAGGCTGTTGCTTGATGACTTTTATTAGTTTGGGGAAATTCTTGGCCAATATCCTTCAACTATTGCTTTTGCCCTTCTCTATTTTCTCTCTCCTTTCCTGTTGAGTCTCCAATCTTATGTATATAAGACCTTTTCACTGAGTCCTATATATGCCTCTCAGATCCTTGTCTATATTTTCTAAACTTTTATCTCTGTTTGAATTGGAATCTTTTCTACTGATCTTCCAGTTCACTAATGTTTTTCTTCTGTTATACCTAATCTGTTGTTAAATCAATCTATTGAATTCTTAATTTCAGTTATAATTTTTCAGTTGTATTATTTCCATTTGGTTCTTTTACAGACTCCAGTTCCCTGATGAAATTCTCCATCTTTTCATCTAATTCTTTTGCATATATAATAGTAATTTTAAAGTCTGTTTCCAATAAAGCTAATGTGTAGACAGCCTATATATCAGATTCTACTATCTACTTTTTCTCTTGGTTTTCAGTCATTTGGCCTTATTTCTTAGCATGCCTGATACTTTCCAATTGAAGGATATTTTATAGAGGCTCTGCATGATACTTTCTTTCACAGAGCATTTAATATTCTTCTGGCAACCAGATAGAATATACGTAGATTACCTTGATCCAGTGTTGAGACTAGTCTATCCCTTGTTTGTTCTTACTCTTCCTAAGGAGTAGCATTTCTGAGATCTCAATTGAAAGCTTAGGGGTATTTCCCAGGTACCTTCTTCTTGGTTGGCCCTCCAATCAAATTTTTGTCCCTAAGGCCTTGTGAGGCTGCAAAAAATCTCTGCTTAGCTTTTAGGGCTCCTAGCAGCTACTTTCTGCTTGATTTCACAGTGTCATGTCTCATCCTACCTACGTGCTGCTTAGAAGTTGGCAATTGCATTAAAAAACTGTGATATAGAAAGTCAAGGTCTTCTCAATGTGTAGAGTCTTCTCTCAGTCTTCAGGATCTAGGCTCCTCATCTCTACTCTCTTGTGTACTCTTTTGGGTATTCATCCATGTCTTCCAACAACAGGGATTTTCTCCCTCCAGATCTCATAGTTATTCTTGGAAGGAAGTTGGTCTAATACCAGCTACTCCTTCATAACCAGCCCTGTGCTTTTTAACACTCCACTGCACTATTACGCCTCCCATTTATTAAATACATCAGTCTCTTTTCACCCTGAAGTAGTACCAATTTCTTAATAACAGTAATGAATGTGGTGAATCCAGGTAACAAGTACAGTTAAAAAAAAAAACAAACACACACACACAGGCCAGGCATGGTGGCTTATGCCTGTAATTCCACCAGTTTGGGAGCCTGAGGGAGGAGTATCACTTGAGCCCAGGAGTTTGAGACCAGCCTGGGCAACATGGCAAGTCTGCCATCTATTACAAAAAAAAAAAAAATTTTAGCCACATGTGGTAACGCATGCCTGTAGTTCCAGCTTCACAGGAGGCTGAGGCAGGAGGACTGTTGAAGCCCAGGAGATTGAGGTTACAGTGAACTATGATCGTGCCACCACACTCTAGCCTGGGCTGACAGTGCAAGACCCTGTCAATCAATCAGTCGCTCAATCACAAAACATAGTTTCTGCCAACAGATATTTTTAGATACTTTATATGGAAATGTTTAATTATTATATTTCAATTAGTTCTAAAGAAACAAAAAACTTTCACTTAACATGGTTGATTAACCACAGGTATCTCCTTCCTCTCTCTCAAAACCCTAAAATGACAGTAAAAGAATAAAAAATGAAGTAACTGTTAAAAAAAAAAAGAAAGCATGAAAAGTAAGAATCTCCACTCCCCGCCCCACTATTCCCGTAATTGGGAATTAAAAGAAAAAGCTCACGGCGAGCCTGTATCCAAATTGTAATTCATAATATTTCAAATTAAAACTGATTTCCGTATAAAATAATATAATGTTCTGCCCTCAGTTAATTATGCAGGTTACCAACTATTTTATGTTAATGACAACAGATTTATACAAGTCTACATTGTCTTATCCAGTTTCTCCACAATATAGCCATTACTTCAAAATCAAGAAAAATAACTTATTGAATTTATAGATAACTTGTTACAGAAGCAATATATTTCTGTTAGTTTTGAAAAACACAGTAAAGAAGGTGTGCCTAAAAGCAGCCCTTAATATTAAAACTAAACAATAAAGCAAAAACCTGCCATCCACACCTATATTATCAGGCACACAGTTTCAACACCTAGTGAGCCTTTAAAATGATTCAAATCCAAATTCCTATAAATGGCAAATTTTAATAAAAACAGTGTCAGAACCATAATACTGGGATAATACAGGTATTATAAAAATATTTTCTGTATTCAAAACCTACAATTCTCAAAATGAAAGGAGGATTTACATGATCACTTGAGTAGGATAGCTATAAGTAATCCACTAGCAAGCATTGAATAAGTACTGAGACTGCAGTGGCAGGGTTCAGTAAAATAAATGCAAAACACAGGGTGTAATTTCATTGCAATTTAAGCTAGTTATTTAAAATACATGAGTGAATATAGATTCAATTTGGATATACATGCAGCACAGTTAATAGCTATCAGGTAGGGATAGTTGGAAAGAAGAGAGGCAGGCTGTTCTATCTAGAAAAATCATAGGAAAAATTAACTATAATGTACTGGTAGACAATTTTCTGTGAAAGTATTAGAAAGATATTCTTTTGTCAAAGCACAGAAAGCTAGATGAACTATACTTCACACTTGAGAAAAAGTAAGTTTCATGTCAGATGCATCTATTCCTATAATCATGTATGCAATTCAAATCTACGATTCAGTTATTCTTAAATGTAACTGAATTATTATTATGATGCAGTACCTAATTGGCTTATAATTATTTCTATCTTTTTTTCTTCCTTTTGTCCAATTACCCTAAACCTTAGAATTCTTGGCATTTTCCTCTCCATCTTAATTATGCATTATTGTTCTTCGTTTTTAAAGAATATCTGCTAAATGCATTTCCTGAGCCTTTAAATTTATTACTAGTAAAAAGTACACAACAGTGATCTTTGTTAAACTATCTGCAAATTACAATTTAATTCAAATCAACTAACA